TGCGAGAGTATAAAAATGTTGCAAAAGAATTCAATATTCATTATTCGTCAAGTCGTGAAGGGATTACAATCAAGTTTGGTGTTTCTTTAAGTTATATTATAGGTCAAAGGCTAAAACTATATTAAAAGTATATTCAAATGAGATGTATATGACGCAAGCTCAACCAAAGAGGCTAAATTTAATATATTGAGCTCATGTGAAAAACATCAACCATAATATTGGAATTAATTATACTTGTATTAAGGATATGAGATTAAGACCAAAATCTAAATCAATTTCATTCATATTCAACGCTCAATCATTAATATAATTACAAAAGAAGTTTTTAAGAAAACTTGTTCACTTTATTTCATTAAAATATCACCTATTTTGACCGACCTAAATGGTTTAAAGTCAGCTGAAAGTCAGAAATCACTTCACAGATTATATTTTACTCTCAAGCAATTTCTAAATAAATAGCTCTCGCACTGACCGACATGTCCGGCTTAAGGTTTCATATATTTTCGGCATTAAACTAAAATATATTCAATATTATACTTTCAGTTAATTTTGCTAAGATATCCAACGTATTAAGTTTAAAAATCTTATATTGGGGATATGGGGGCTAAGTAGTATTGACCCGATTCAACCCATTTTTGACCCTACAAAGACTCTACCCGAATTTCGATTACAAATCTCACACATTGACCGCTAGTTTCGGTAAGAAATCAGCCTTAGACACTGGAATCCACATCTTCGGCATATGGGGGCTTTAACAGCTATGGTCCGACTTTGACAATTTTTAGACTTGAGATGGTGTATCTTAACGGCACTATTTGGGCAAAATTTTATCCCGATATATTCATTAATGATAGATTTGTATTCTGGAAAGTGAAAAAATAAATTTTTGCCCTGTAACATAAAAAAGTCAGAAAATGTTATCTAACTATCTAAACTAGTTTTGAGGTTACAAACAACCGTTAAGTGAACAAAGCTATTATATTATGTAGCAACATGTTGCAAAAGTAACACGAAAAAATGTTAATGTCGGCTGCACCGAAGCTTTAATACCCTTCACAGAAGCATTTCTTATAGTAACTAAATATATGGTATAACTAAATCTAAAAAGGTAACCGGTCCACAGTTTCCAAGGGAAAACGTTTTGGTTGTTTATTCTAGCCACGTTCTTTGGTATAAACAATCTTCAAGCCTAACGTTACTTAATAAGGAAAAAATATCTTTTATGAAAATCGTTATATCGATAATGAACGGTCAGTTTGAATAGCAGCTATTTGATATAGTGGTCCGATCTGAACAATTTTTTCGGAGATTATAGCATTGTCTTCGGTTATAGGCCGTACAGAATTTCGCGAAGATACCTTGTCAAAAACAAGGAGAAAAGTACATGTGTAAGATTTCAGGCCGATATCTCAAAACCTAAGAGACAAGTTCGGATATATACAGACAGACGGACAGACAGATAAACATTGCTAAAGCGGCTCAGCTCATCACGCTCTTCTTTTATGTATATATACATTAGAGCAGGTCGATAAAGTTTAATTTTTGGGGATTATAAAAATTTCTTCGTTAGTTTTTGAGATATCCGAACGAAATTCAATACATAGGTGCATTTTGACATTATATTAATCATATGTCGGCTCAGCTTATCACGCTCATCATTTATGTATGTATACATGCATATACTTTATACCACTTAATTGACCCCCGGTCAATTGATTTTCCCGCTTATTTTCAAACAAAAAACTTTCGTTAAAAAATAATCTGGCATTGCCGCACATACATATTTCGCCGCATGTTCATGGCATCTTTGCAAAGCAATTGAAAATATAATATATGTTTATTGGTGAAGATATTTTGGATGGGGCTGATGAGAGCAAGAGAGAGAAGATGATCCTCTAAAGCCTCCGTCAGTTCTCGAAGATTTAAAATACATACAAGAAGATATTTTTATTCAGAAAACAAGTATTTGTGTGAATGAGGAAATATGAAATCGAATGTTATTTCTCGTAGATTGAACATTATACAAAAAAAGTATGGGTTTTTTCAATTAACATTTTAAAAATGTAAGCAACGATTTCTAAATATGAGAATGTAAGTGCGGCATATATACAATAATCTGAATTGTTTTTGTTCCTTAAGTTTATTTTATTTTTTCAAACAACGATCTCTTAATATATAAGTGCTTTGCCTTGTTTATGTTCCTTATACTTTTCCGTTCGAAGTTAAAGATATTATTTAAATATCATTACTAAAAACTAAATAAATACTTAAAGTGCATATGATTTTTTTGAAATTGATTAGGTTGTCCAATTAAGCGCGATTCCTGTAATCGAAGGTATTGTTCAATTAAACGAGTAACGTTTAATTGATTCCCCGGTTAATTGAACTAAAAATCTTGCAATTCTTGAAGTGCAATTATCCGGCGGATACTGTATATCCATTTGGATATAGTTATAAATAATATACCCCCGACGCTTACCACTGAGTGTTACAAATTTCGTGACAAACTCAATAGACGCTGTTTAAGGTATAGAAATACTAGAATTTAGTGTCGATTGCGTACAGAATTAAATCACTGTAAATGAAAAGTTTGCTCATTTTTATTGCCAATCTGCGAAGTTTTTAAGCGCTTTAATCATTGTAAATGTATTACATAGTATTTCTCACTTAACTACAATTTGGGGTAATCAGGATGAATCTATTCTATACCAAAACCACTCATTATTACAGTGTAAGGGCGTGGGATGGAATTTCGCTATGATTTTTACTTTAAAAATATGATTATATGATGGTGGAAGTGTTTTTGGTGCTAAATTCCGGCGTTATACAACAATAATATGTGAAAGTTTGTAATAATTATCGAATTCGGTTAAGTTACCTGAAATAGTTTGTAAGTTTATTACATTTAACTTAATATTTGATCAAATAAGTTTATATTTTTCAAGTTTTATTGCCTCTAATTCATCGCGGGTCCCTGTACTTAGTTTGAATTTTTAGATCTTTTAAAACATTATTGAAATTTATGCGTTCTTGAAACACTTTCCATGGACTGATTATATTAAAAGCATGACAATATCCATAGCTAGGAATCGGTTCCTCTCATCATTATCTACTCATAATTAGAGTTCTTAACCTATAATGTTTACTTCATGGTTTCGAATAGGAGTTAAGTAAAGAAACCCGGTATATCCTTTATTGAAAAGTAAACACATTATTTAAGTAATTTAACTCGAATCATTGAGTTATGAAATAATGAAAATGGTTTGAAATGTTTCCTTTGTTCTGTTTACAGTAGTTTCGTATTTTAATACTTAGAATTACATCATACCTATGAAAGAATGAGTTTCAACTAACAACAGTAGAATTAAAATACAAGTAGTTGCATACAAATACTTAGATAACGATATAAACTATACTCGCTAGAATATCTGCTCAAATATAATATCTTCTATTCTTGTTATTTTTTGAATTGGATTCTTAAGGCGAAATCATGTCAATTGATCAAACAAACAAGCTTTGCACAGGAATACTTTCTATTGTATAAATAATAAAAGATATAACAAGACAACAACAAAGGAGCGATATAACGTTGGCAACAGTTGACGATTTGTCGATAAACAATGTTGTTGTAAAATTGCAAATATTTCTATAGTTACCGAAAATTATAAGAAAATGCGAATATTCAACAATTTGCTCTGCGCGATAAAGTGATAATAGGAAGAAAGTGCAGCTAATTGAAGCATACAATTATGAATGGATAGAAGAAGTTTCAAGACACAGTTTCGAGAACATGCGCTTTTTTTTATTATATATACCATATAAATTAGGGTAAGCATAAAAATTATCGAATGTATGAGATAAAATGAACTTTTCAGTTCTAATAGTAACAATTTTGGAACTGAAACAACTCCCACTGAGGTAAATTTTTAAGGAAAGGAGCGCTACACAATAATTTTATCATTTTCAAAAGTTATGTTATTCTTAATGAAAAAATTGTTGTTTAAGTTTTATTTCTATGGGAAATTTTGAATGTTCACTGACACCTTTTATAAATAAGCTAAACATTTTTTTCTGCAGGGAAATTTTTTTTTTGTATAGAGGTTAATTTTAACCTATAAATCCAATAGGTTACTTTGTGGCTCACCCTAGTACATACATATGTATACATGTATTTTTGTAAGCAAAATACCTAGTTGGTTTAACTTTCACATGCTTGTATACTCATACAGTGCAGAATACGGTCTTACGAAAGTTAGGAGTGGTCTCACCCTCTGTTAGGTTTTACATTCGTGTCTCATAAAATACGAGGGCGGCCCCATTGGTACTTACCCTACACACCTAAATTTTGGAAAATTGGATATTTATTGTTTAAAATAGTTTTATTCTAGTGTCTAAAATAACGTGTTCTATACGATGGTTTAGGCAGCACTTCGTAGCATAATCCACTCTGACTTTAAGCACTGATATGTGGTTTCACGGCTGCGGTTGTTATTCGGAGTCTTGCTATCTCACACAGCTTCAAACAACGGCCTATTAGTACCCCATCATAATAAATATGGGTTCGCAACTTACCCTAAACCATAAAGGGTATTGATATACTCGAACATATAACATTACCGACATCAAATGACATTTCAAACATGGTCGTAGTTATGAAAATTTACATAAACAAACTACACTTAACTTAGGGAGATTTAATCCTGCCCGACGAGTGGGGAGGTAAGCCGGGTAATCACCACAAGGCCCCGGTTAGACACTGGTCCGTGGGAGTCCCTTTTAATAAATTTTCTGTAATGTCTTCTGCTCGGTCTTCAAATCCTATGCAGCGGTGATTTTTCCTGCTAAATTACGAGCTTTACTCCGCAATTACTAAAGTTTGTGTTTGAGCAGTTGCTGTGATAATCTCGTGATATACGTTATCCATTGCGCTCAGATTTCAATTTTACTTAACTTTTTTTCAGCCACTTTCATTAATACCAGTTTCTGATTTAATTATACAGATGAAGAGTTGGGCGATGATTATCCAGAAATGCGTGAGGAAGTACATCTTGAAGACTTCTTTTGGACAGGGTCGGGTGATGGTCCACCAGACTATCTGAAGAAAGTGCATACTGGCATCAGTAAGGGCAAAGATGTGATTGTCAAAACGGAAACAGTTGTTGCAACAGTATATGTGGACGGCAATAATGTAAGGATATGAATTATATATCCTCTAAGTAAATGATGAAGTGAATGAGTAAATGATTTTGTTATAGGAAATTGATATACCGATATGCTTGGATTGTCCACCAGACGATGGCGGCACTACTTGGGGTGTCGGCGCGATGCCACCACTTAATTACTCAGCGACAGATCGAAGATATTGGCTGCTTACAGTGATGTCTGGATTCTATTCACAAAAAGATAATCCGCCCTTAGAGGAAAAGTTGGCGCGATTATATCGATTGGCTTTTACGAGGTGTTTATTAAATATAACGTATTTAAATTAGTCTAAGCCGATAACCAAATGCACAATTTGTCGCATGTTTTTCTATAATTAATACAATTCCTTTTAACTCTTGACAGTTCCGGGGTACTAAATTTGATTCAGAATTTTTAATTCATTTAATTCACATCATTCACAAATATGTAAATACTAACTATCTATCCCACTAACCAAACTAAATTAGATTACGATTTCGAATAGGAAAATCTCTTGATCCAGAATCCCAGTTAGAGAACAAAATGTATACCACTAAATTCTTGGAACTATTCCCGCTCATTGGGATAGTAATCGATAGTTAAAATATCGGTATGCAATTTTTTCGTTCCAAAATCGGCAAACAACTTGAAAGAGCTATTTTAAAGTAAGAAGGGTTTCAAAGACAACTGAAGAATAATAACACTAGTTTACACTCATTTTGCGACTGTAATGTTAGAGGCTGTTCTTTGCTAATTTTGGGTTGCCAAACCCGAAATGATAGCAAAAATTTCCTAGCACGTAGGATTTGGTGCGACCACCACTAAAATAACAAAAATAACTGTATATGATGGAAAAATTTTGAACTCAAATTCGTAATCAGGACACCTCAAGTGGAGGTACCACATCAGTCGCAATTTTTTCATTCAGATTTCCTGCGTGGTGTAATTTGACATTGTCTTCTTAAAATTTGTATGAACAGGCAAAATTCGAAACATTTAGGCATTAATGGTGCACAGCAGATTGCAGGAATTGCGGTATCGGCTGGGAGAAATAAGCGTGGTCAACATGAAGCCGACGTACATACACTTGACCTCACGACACCTAAAGGTCTGAAAACGGCATATTGGAAATTAATGCTTGAAAACATGTATTTTCAATACTTCTTATACAGATCTCGATGACGACGCCGAAATGCTTGACATGATCGGTAATGCTACACCAGCCAACACTCACCCCATTCAGCCGAAACGCAAACCAAACAGAAATACTGAGTGGGAAACATCTTCGGAAGAAATCGAAAACAATTTCTCTTTTACAAGCACGACCGCCTCCGATGAATTCACCACAACCACAAGTTCGAATACGGAAGCTACACGCGAAAAAGTCACAAGCACCACACAATTACCACATAAGAGTATATTGTCATGGGAGTTGATACAGGAGGATGCAAAATCAGAGAAACTCCAAGCTGCAGCGGCTCTCTTGGACACACAAGCTTCACTGGTACCATTACAACCGCAGGTTCCGCTGCTGCATAATTCACAAGTACGTGTGGTTATCCATAATATCACACGGATAACTGAGGACGACGTACAGAAAGGCATACACAGCATTGGCACTTACGATGAAGATATCAATGAGAAGATGTGAGTACCCAGGCGGTGTAAATCGTTTGAGTTAGGGTGCATTTAAAATTGTCCTTTTTTCAGCGATGAACGCCCTATTGCAAATCAAACCGAGCTCATCTACTCTGTACTCGTCAATGGGCGTCCTGTGTTGGCGGTAACGGCAGCCAACGATATGAAACTGGTGTCTGAAACTGAAGCCTCAAATATCATTGGGCAGGAAGTCTACATGAAGTCTGAACGTATGCAAAATTTAGCAGATTTTAAACTTTGAATATATTGTATTGTAGTTGATAAAATTCTAATCTATAAATTATTCAATATTAACAGCTTATTTGCGCGAGCCACAGGCGACTCCATTGGCGCCTGCAATACGCAGCGGTCAATCGGGTTTCATAGACTCTATACAAAATAACACCGCTTTGGTGGTGATTACTTCGCTTGCTATCTTACTGTTGTTGCTTTTGCTCATGGCGTTACTGTTGATGGGTCGATCGCGTGTGCGAGAGAAACATCGGTTAGAGGAGCAAAGGTATACTTATCGTTCGAAAACTTGAGAGCCTTATCTAATTGTCTATAACTTACTGCATAGAACGACCAGCCGTAATGAGCTATTAGCTGAACTACAATCTGGGCGCGGCACTTCCACAGAAACCGGCTTAGATACCGGTCGCACTACAACGCAGTCCCGTGATATTGGCGTACAAAACTTCTCATTTGAACACGATGGCACACATCATGTACGCGAGCCACGTATTAACTTCCCAAGTCCGCCGGCAAAACGTGAATATCGTCGCGATTCACTTAGCTCATCAGACAATACATCTGACTCTTCAGTCTATTGTCCTATTAATCCACCAGCCCCGGATGTTCAACGTATACTTGACGATAAGGCTGCGGCTTTATTCGAAAAACATCGTCGTAGGCATACGCAACATGATTACGATCAAGCTGAGGGACATGAGAATGCTGTATATACTACTGTTATTACAGAGAAAAAGCAGGACAAGACACGTCGCAAAACCAAGCGACGTTATCTTTCTGAGAATCGCGTGGGTTCGCTAGAGACCAGTCCACGCACACATCTCGCGGCGCAGTCTTCGGGTGACGAGGTGATTAGCGGCTCTTTGGATGAAGAACAATTGAGTCCCACATATGCGAATTTTGAAAGGAATGAGGCATTTAACCCGCACAACAATTATCATCGCAATAAACTGTTACATCAGAAAAGCGTTTTTGGCGATAAGATTGATGTTGAGCAACTACCGACCGTAGAAGCTGTTAATAAGGAGGTCATACGCACATTACCTCCCACGGAAAGATCTTCCGATACAGGCAGTATTGGTTCATTTTTATCAATGGCTTCTGTGAAAGCTTTTCCGAAAAATTCACTGCCTCAGCCATTGAATCGAGTGCTGGATCCGGTTTTTGTCACATACTACGACAATATTGAGGACCCTGCTGCAAAAAAACAAACCGTGGAGACATATCCGTTGCGTAGGCAGCAGAGCCGACAGGATGTGTTGGATGCAACAGCTATAGCCACTATAGAAAGTTTCCCCATACCTAAAGCACCATCACAAAATAATTTGGGCGCTTCGCAGAGTGACAATCCAGATTCGGGTGTAGTTGGCCCTCTAGTCTGGGAAAGGCATAAGAAACGTTTAAAAGAAACTGCGGATACCGATGATGCGGGTAATGATGTTGGGGATAACCACAAAGAAGGGGAACAAGGGGAACGGGAACGTTATTAAACGTTGAGTGCGCCTAGCATATGTATTATATATTAGACAACTGTAGACTAGAGCCCATCACCAACGTAGTTAATGAGATACAAATGTAGATAAAAAATATTGATTGATAGTCTAATAGACACAATCGATAATTAAATGTATTGGTAAAAACAGGCAGGCAATCTGCTCAACACTTAACACTTCCAAGCTCAACGCAAACTCCTCTCTATTCTACATTCTTCCTCTTGTCTTCTTCTATTTTACTTCCACATTTACACATTTCCAATAGAGGACATTCTAATGGGGTATGATGAAAGGTTTAACAATAATCCCGGAGCAATCAGAGTTCATTATGAAGATCTGCTAGAAAGCGCCATACACATGTATTCCAGTCAAGAAGACTTGCCGATGCCTCTACCAACACGAGATTTCGTAAATAAACGTAAGCCGACAAAATGGGAAAATCGCGGCTCATCAGCAGGCGTATCCAGGTTGGCAAACTGTACTTTTAGACAATTTTTTACATATTCTTTATGAGCAAATTAACTTTTATTTCCATCTTTAGCTTAGCTGCACGCCTTAATACTACCGACGTCCGTCCAGCTACTGCCCAACCATTAAAAACGACAAAATCGAATAACTCAACTCAACCACCTTCACCTGCCAGCGGCGCTTGGGGTGGTAGTATTTACGGTTCCCATTCTCCACTTATTCGTCCATTGAGTGCTGGACCGTATCAGCACTCGGAGTCATTTCAGGTGGTTGGTCCACCCAGATCTGTAACAAATCGGTCTGATATCTCAGCGGAGCCCCTTATAGAGGCAATCAAAAGCGAATTACGACGATTTAAAAATGAGAAGCATTAGATTCAAAGCACAAAATGATTGCACAAATTTAATTTAAAAATAAAGCAAGCATATACGCATAATTGTAATGGGTGTGGATATTGTTTATTTTTTACCCTAGGTTTAACAAAAAATCACAATTACTGCTGAAAATATTTAAAAGTATAATTTTCAAGTACTCTCTTATGTAATAAAGAGCTGTTAAATCTTAAATGTAAGGCAAAAAGTTGAACTACGTTGGGATTGAGCCAAAGTCTATTGAGCAAAATTACCAAGAAATTTATATCTCGAGTACCCATCAATAGCTTAAAAACGAAACTGAGATGTGGAAAGTGACTCAATCCATAGAAAGGTGTCAGGGAATGTAATGATAAGGCTCATTTAGTTGTGCTGATTCGGCGCTGCTTTCAAGAATTTTAGTTTAAAGTAATATTTCAATGATAATAGAGACTAAATGTGTTCTCCAAGGTACTTAAAATTTTAGACTAGCAAAAACATTTGGAACTAAGCATACTCATATATATACTTATATATATATAATACCATTTAATTTTACTGTGAAATAGTCTGTCTTTTAAGGAGTAGGCAGGATAGTGGAATAGGAATATTCCTCTAATCAATTAGTAAAATTGTGTTCAACCTTAATAAATAACACAGGAAAATTTGTTTCGGTTTCAACTCGATTTTCAGCCAAAAAAATGTATATGCTATCTCGTCTATGGTCCGCACCGCCTATTGAAATTCAAAAGGAAAGACATAAGAACTCTAGTGGGAGCGCTAAAAGTCTTCATTCGAAAATACGTCAGCAGACTAGGGATACCATATGTATATCGATTACTGTCCATTACCCTAACGAGGAGGATACAGCTAAGAGGATTTCCGCCGAACGAATCGGTGTAGAATTTTTTTGTTTTCTTCACTTAATGTTTTCTCTTCGTATATGGACGTAATAAGACCATTGTCAAACCCACAAAACGCCATCAAACGAAAACCTATAAAGTGCCATAACTAAGCCCTAAATTAAGATACAAAACTGGCACAGGGTATCGCAGTAGCAAGAGGGCACCAGGGTTAGGGGCGTAGCCCCGCCCTCTAAGAGGTTTAGTGCACATATATCCTAAACCACTTAAGAGGCAATAACCAAATTCGCTCAGGACAAATCCTACCTTGAGCACTCCTACCGACACTGTAAAAATGGATGAAATCGGATGATAATTCGCCCACTCTCCATGTAACGGGTCTGTTAAAAACTACTAAAAGCGCGATAAATCAATGAATATTTAAATACACCAGAGAGTAAAACTTTTTTAAGCTCCCAGATACCGAATATGTGGACCCCAGTAGTAATAGTATGTCTGTACGTCAAAAATGGAATCGGATCAATAATTCCCTTAGCTCACATATACTTAATAAAAATATTTTCGAACTTCCAACTAATGAAATTTAAATAGCGTGGTTTTGTAAAAATGTTTCGTTGTACATAAGGTATTTCCCCAGCTTTAGGACCTTACTTGTTTTCTCTCCTTTTATCAAGAAATTTAATACATTTGGTATCAGAGGAAATATAAAACCGAAGTGGCAGAAATCATTACATTAGGGGTATGGGGGCTAAATCAAGATACAGATCGATTTCATCAAAATTTAGTCCTAATCCATATTCTGGTTAAGAAAACATGTAAAACTTTCATTTCATTGTCGCAGAGATTTGCCAATATAAAAACAGTATAAAGTCAACCAGAAAACCATTTTCTCTTTAACTTTCATTAAGGTACAGATTGACCATTCTTTTTGGTTAAAAATCAGCTAAAAGCACTGAGATCCACATACTAGGTATCTGATAGACACATCTTGAATGTATTAAATGCACTACTTGTGTAAAGTTGTTCTAGTCCAATATCCCCATTGGTGATTAAAATAAAACCTACAACATTCGATGGTTGAAATCATTTTGACTCTCCTATTTGCACCGTGCAATAAAGTACAATGTTGTATGTATGTATATTATGTTCGTTTGCTTTAATTGAGCATGTCAAAAAATACCAACGACAAAAAAACTGATTTAATTTACATATATTATTTAAAAATATAGCTATATCCTAGATTCTCTCAAGCACTGTACTCCTAAGTGTACATAGTAAAGGTACATAATGAATTATAATTAAAAGATGTTTTTATTAATTTTTTTATTTCAAGAACATTAATTTAAGGAGTTTTGTATAATTCTCATTAAGGATTTATATAAATCGTATGTATAGTGTATACCATATAACCGAAACCGCTAAGTGTTGTTGTTTTTACTTTTGTGTGGGAAGCCATTGCAGAAGTGTGGCGTTTTGCTTTAATCGATGTTGTTGTTATTAGTTTGTTTGTTTCAAAGGACTTTCATTGTAATTCAGAACTCTGTGTAAATGTGTGGTCGTATGTATGTGTGGGAGCGACAAATAGTAAAAGGTGAAGATACATTTACATACATATATTTGTTACATTTTATAATTTTTTTAGTACTTGCATTGCAATGAAAGCCCTCACCAGCCCATTTGAAGAAAATATTTACAAAAACAAAAGCAACATCTGTGCAGGTAGTATGTTTTTTTTTGTTATTGCGTTCTTTTGAATGTGCAATATATGCAAAGCTAAAAACTAAAATTTACAAAAACAACAAATTCGAAAGTCGATCTCTTTAAAAATTGTTTTATTAAATTTAGTCTCTCAGATTTCTTTGCGCATCTACTGATACTGACACACACATACTGATTTTTTAACTTTCTAAACTCCACCAAAGACACTATCTACACATGTATATATGACTAAGTGTATATTTGTATGTTGTGTGCTATTTTTTTAATTTTTCCGTTCATATTTTTTCACTTTTACATAAAATTTTATTTTTGTCTGTTATGACAATTGTGCTAACTTAAAATTTGGGTAACTTGTATGATTTCTGTGGTCCAAAACTCGTCGGCCTAATCGTTTGCATTTGTGGTTCGTCAATGTCTTGTTGTTGTCGCTCAATGCTTAGTAAAGCTCCTTTTGGCCACTCGCAGACGACTTGTGTGCTTGCTGTTGTTCCTGCGCGTCTACGCTGCGCTTACCCAGACGTGGGCCAAACCATAAGCCTGAAGTAGCGCTTGGGCCGGTAGCCTTGTTAAGCGCCTGCTGCAGCGCCATAATATGCGCCCACTTCCTCAGCTCCGCATCGGTGCGGCCGACTCGTGGGAAGGGGATCAAACTGGCGCGCTTCATTTCGCTTTTTGGAAATTCTACTGTTAATATAATGAAAACAAAAATCAACAAATCAATTAAAATTCTTGCAAAAGAGTACACACGCAAACATCAACGGAGACGAGCACATATTCCCGTCAAGCGGAAAGCGACAGACTCATTACAATGCTCGGTGAATCAACTTACCTTCGTAGTCCTCCAAGGAGGCGGGGTACATGATACTATCGCCGAGCGCTGAGATGTCAGCTTCATGCAAATTATTCACCAGATTCGGATCGCTGCGACCGACGCGCGGGAAGGCTATCAGCCCTGAAGGTCCACCGGCCGTGCGCCGATTTTTCTGCTCCAGCTCTGCAACGCATAACATTTCGTATATATTAGCCACTATTTGCTTTGTTTTTGTATTTAAATGCTAGATAAATAAATTTCAAAATTAGTGGGTGTACTTTGTTAGGATTCTCGTAGTCGTGCTTGCGTATTGGAAGATAAATAAATAAACAAAGAAGTCCCAAATGATAGCTTTGTGCATGTGTGTAAGTATCTGGATACAGTTGTAATTTTTGCATGGCAAACATCTTGTCACAAGCGGTGTATATTATTGTAGTAATCGGCGTAAAGGGAGTGTTTAGAACATTGCCATAAATATCTGCGGTCTTAAAGACATTTGCGAACCTCATCTGTTGAACTGAAAATGTTTAATTTTAGCTCTATTGGGACACATGGGTTCCAGTCTGCAACATTACTTGTCAAAATATGAAAGAATATACTTAGGTATAGGGTGAGGAACCTTTTTATTGACAGCTTGGTATTAGATTATAAGAACTTGACTTTGACGACAATATTCCCATTTCACGTACTTTAGTGAAGTAGTCCCTCAGTTTTTGAGATATCGATTTGAAATTTTGCCTACTTATATACTTATAAACCGCCGATATCAGGCCATATAGGTTATTAGTACCATACAAACTGATCGGTCGACATCAGGTTCTTGTATGAAAGACTTTCTTATTTGACAATCTCCAATAAAAATGATGACAAACATATTATTTATACCCTTTATGCTATAAAATATGCACCAGTGAGCGGTATTATGGCTTTAGTTGAGGAATATTTTAATTTTTATAGGAAATATATAGTATATAGTATCAGAGTTGTGGACAAAAATCTATAGATTATGCTCAAGGAACACTGAGTAAACAGAATTACATTTACGGTGTCGCGAATTATTTGGTCACAGTTCCACTGTCATGGTTACTAGAGGTCGAGATTAGTACAATTCCAAAGTGGTCCTGCAGTTTTTAAGCAATACAATCGGTCTCTGTTGCTTCTAGAAAAAAACCATTCACTTTACATTTAAGAGGACGAAAAGAGAACTTTGAGAACACGTACCTTACACTTTACATAATATAATAACAACTGTAGCTCTGAGTTGTGTAAGTAAAATTTTGGAAAATATCTTTAGTGTTAAAGAAAGAAAACACTATCTGAGACTTGCGTCCTCAAGAGGAGTTGAAACAATAATGTCAAATAAGGAAAATGTCTATGAAGGATAACAGTACCATACATATACATATACAAGTGCGAGTATAATAAGGCTACGAACTTTCTGTTTTGTTTTGCAACTAGCTGATTCAACGAACTTCGTCACGCCTTAAAGTCAATAAATGAAGTGATATATTTTAGCTATACTTACGTTATGATTTTAGTTAACCCAATATTATTTCTTTTTTATTTTTGTTTACACTGATTATTTTACCCATATTTTAATAGTCGTTATGCTATTTGAGACGCAGACTACTTCAACAAACCAGAGATCATCAAAAACGGCCCAGTCATCTTACAAATTGGTAACGATTTGTTTGCTTGTATGTAGATTACCCTTTTCAGATCTTTTTTGTTATACTGATACCTAGTAAGATCTTCCCTAATTCAGGTCCAAATAAAAGATCCTGATTTCAGTATCATTTGTGGGTAATGGATGAGTTCTAAAAAACAAAAGTTTGTCTTGTGTATATTCGTAAATTCTTTAAGGATATCAGCATGGATAAAGGTAAATTCATGCGAATGCTCACTAAATTGTATTTCTATACATTTTTTTTTCATCCACTCATCCTACTATAATTAATTTGTTCTGATCGTAATTGATTAAATTAGCTTTTGAGACATGTTTAGAAATAGCCTTAGAAACTTTAAAATTATGTTTGATCTTCTGTAAATTGACTAAAAAAGTAGTACTGACAGTTTCATTATGGAACTCAGCTCAGGTATGTCCACCTCTTGGAACTTTTGGTGGCTAAATAAAAATGAGTTAGATATTAAATACCATCGATTCATTATTTTTCAGTTCGCTAAAATTTTTGGCGCTTTCCTCTTGTCAAAAACTCAAAAAATTTACTTGTAAAGGCAACAACAAAATGAGTGAGTTGAGTTCGACCTCGTTAAAGTGTTTAACCGCTTTTTTAATTACTACCAAATTTTTTTCGCGACTTGAGACAAGTTTTAAAAATGTTTGTCCAACAAATGCCCCTTATCACTGCGATCCCCTGCACCAAGTTACAGTTTTGTATCTTAATTAGTTGTTACACTTTATATTTTTTCGTTTATTGGCGTATTATGGGAGTGGCAGTGGTCCGATTACGCTCATCTGCAATACCAACCCCCCTTGGATGCCTAGGAATACGTCTGCTATGTTTCATCCAGATATCTGAATTTTTACTCAAGTTATCGCTTGCACGGACAGACGGACGGACAGACAGTCACTCGGATTTCAACTCTTCTCGCCAACCGGATCATTTATATGTATATATAATATATAACTCCATATCTATATCGATTAGTATTAGGTGATATAAACAACCGTTAAGTGAACAAAACTATTATACTCTGTGCAAGATTTTACGAGAGCATAAAAATAGTAATCTATTGATTCTAATAACTCGAAACCAAGGTTTATTTGAGGTAGGAATATAAATAATTACTATCAAAGTGAGAAAGTTTCACCATTCGTACTGACAGTCTGCTTGAACTATATAAGCTAGTTTGTTCTAATTGCTGTGCTTTAACGCTTTGAAATCAAAGATACATATTTTATATCTAATTATAACCTGTATGCATATATATGTATGTATCTATGTTGCTCTTTCCAATTTATTTAAATCAGCTTAACGGCCAAACCAGAAACCTAAATAAACGAGACTTATTCTGAACATACATAATATTTCCCAAGGCCCTTATTTTGGTGTATGTTTTCACTGCTGCATTTATTTCGCAAAATATTGATTTATATTATATTTAACCACTTTTATATTTTCAAATGTGCTTTTGTGCTCGAAAGAAATTCTAAATTAATTGTAAACATTTATTAAAACTTACCAAATAAACTCCGTTGCTCGGATTCTAAAATCAATAGACAATAACAACAAAAAACGCTTATAAGTGTGCTAATACAGATAATTAATTTTTCTGAGCAAAGTGAAAATAGCAAAATAGCAGCAGAAGCTGATCAATGTATGCTTCTACGATATATGTAGTTCTATGTGTGTATGCGGGATGTTGTGTATGGGGAGGGAGGGCGCGCGTTTGAAATGATGCCACAAATTCTCGCAGCTGTCTCATTTGCAGCAATTTACCAAGCTTAACCTGATTGCTACGGGGAATCTATGCAAATTTAATGACCAACATTTCAGCACTAAATTTAAACAAATCACCAACATGTACAATATGAAGAGCAAGAACAACAAAAATATAGTTGAAATGGACTACACTTATGATGCTAATTTTAGTTGAGCCAGCAAAAGAAAGGAGGGTGCAAACGGCAATTGCCTCACAGCTCGTCGCTATATTGACACGCCACAAGAATAAAGTGCGCCGCTGTTGCTCATACGCATTGGCTTACCGTCGGCGCGTTTGTATTTTAAGTAACCTGCAGTGCGATTGATGTTTGCTAATGCCACTTTGATATGTATATATATGTTTTGCGAAAATGTTTGATTGCTTCATGATTCACGTAAATTTGCAGAAAATCTCTCTTTGACTATTTTTGAATTGTTGTTTCACAAGTGACAATTGTCGTCGGAGATATATTTCTCGAATGATGTTTTAGGTAGAAAAACGAGTTTATGGTGAACAATTGAAAAAAAAACTTAGCTTCGTTTTTTAATGTAAATTTTAATTTCAATATTTTACAATTATTTCAAACAGTTTTATAAAATGTATAGAGTATTAGCTTTTTTAACACTGTGACCAGATGTAGTCTGTATGAAAATATGATTCTATCAATCGCTAAATTATGTACATATGGAAGCTATGATAATTTTCAATAATACAGAAAATAATATGCACTTCCAATATTAAGTTACATCATCATTTAATTTAGCTACAACAGTATTGACGATATTACTGTTGACAATATTAAATTTTATCCAGGCAAGGTTACGAATTATCAAACTCAAATATTTTGGACTAAAATTTAAATTTTCAATTTTGAATTGTGATTTTGCATTTTCAATTTAAAATTGTTCAATTTCAAACTTAATTTTAATCCCAAAATCGGTATTGACAAATAAGGCATTGCTTAATTCGGACTAATCGAACATTTTATACCCTTCAACTTACTTTCAGGCGTTGGCAAAACTTTATACTCGTATTAACACTAAGGGGGGCTAAGGAAAATATTGATCCGATCTAACCCATATTTCCCATGGGGCATAGTATTATTAGGAAAGGATTTTTTGGAAAGTGAAAGAGTCAGATGTAATTTAAAAAATTGTTACATTGAAAGTAGGCGTGGTTGCTATGCGATTGGAATGTCAAAACAATGTAATGTCCCAAATTGGTTTTAAATTGGTCGAGCAGATGCTGAGTGAAATATATGTTTTCACCTAAATATGGGTAGTGCCACGCCCATTTTCAAATTTTGATATGGGCTCCTATAACGCTTACTTGTACCATCACCTAAATAGGGGTATCATAACCGTTATTTGGGGAGTGGGCGGGGTTACAATCCGATTTCAACCATTTTTGCACTGTCGAAGTATATGCTAAAAAGATTTATTCTGAGTAAGTTCCTTTGATTAAAGTTAAATGGTTTGGGAGACATGGACGTTAAACCTATTAGGGGGTGGGGCTCTGCCCACTTTTGAACAATTTTCCAACCACAAGTGAACTTCGCCACTGTAATCCTCTGCACCAAAGTTTGTGGTGCAAACCGGCCATCTGCAATACCAACCCTCATTTGGCGCCAAGGGACATATATGCCAAGATTCATCAGGATATCTAAATTTTACTAAAGTTACTGCTTGCACGGACGGAAGGACAGACAGTCACACATATTTCAAATCGTCTCGTAATCCTGATCATTTATATATACATCTCGATTATTTTTTGGGGATACAAATAACCGTTAGGTGATCAAAACTTGTATACTCTGTAGCAACATGTTGCAAGGGTATGAAAAGAGCCACAAGCATTGAAATTCACAGCCAAGATGGCAGGGAAGGGCTTAAAAGGAGCCAGTGTACATAGGCGTGGCACCGCCCACTTTTAGGTGAAATCCTATATCTCAGGAACTACTTAACCAATTTCAACAAAATTTGGTGTGGTTCTTTCACTATACGGTATACAAATCAAATATCAATGACGTTATTAGGATGCAAAAATTTGCAGAAATAGTGTCCTCAAGGTATTTTAATGGGTATAAACGCCCGTCGATATAAATATAATTGTCGAAACCGAACTATAACTTTTCAAGGACCCAGACACCAAATATGTGGACACCAGTGCATATCGCTTATTTTTTACCGGACCTATTGGTCAGTCTATGAGTCTTTGTATTGAAATTCGAGAAGAATATTTGTGTGATTACAGCGTGCCGTTGTGGCAAAAATGGGTAAGGTCGAGTCAATACTTCCCTTAGCCCCTAATACCTATTATAAATATTTTCAAACTTCCGGTTGACTTTATACTGCATCTATCGGTTAATATGTAAAATGTCTTAAGACAATTCCGAAAGAATCTCTTTCAAAAAATAGTGTATCTTCTTGCCTGCGAATGTAAATAATGGATGCAATACCATACTTCCTCCTTTTTATTAAAATATATGCGAAAATCGCATATACCACTTTACCTTGCGAGAGTATAAAATTTTCGGTTACACTCGAACTTAGACCTTTCTTACTTGTTTATTTTAAAATTAAATGGAATAACAAATATACAAAATTATTTTTCAAATAAAAAAACTGGAATAAAAAGGGTTAAAAAACGATAGAAACACTAAATTAAAAGTAATTAAATGTAAAATACGGAAGCTTTTATTTTACAAAGATAACCGAAATGTAGACGAAGTACGCAGGTGCAAAATTCCTTTTTAAATTTTTAGTTATAAACATGGGATTAATATGTTTTTTTTATATTTAAATCCGGTAGTTAGGTCTAAAATTTTCATTTTTAATTTTTAATCCGGAATTTGGGATTAGAAATATGATAATTATTTAATACGATTTTCAGGATTACAAAATATTTTTTTTTTATAAATGCTAATTCAATTGCCTTTTTAATGCATTTTTTACAACCCAGTTAGAGAGTTTATACAGACAAATGAATAACTCAATTGTATACAAGCAGCGGTAGCTATAGAGAATTTTGCAAAGAGCAGAATGACCGATGTATTATACAACAACTTATTACACTCTGCCAAATGTTTCTCTCCATGAGATTTCATTTGTGATCAGAGATATTCATATTAACGCCATTAACCACAGTGAATTACTCCAAAATATCCATTTGAATAGAGTTTTTCAAAACCATAATTCATTGTTTGATTTTCTTTAAAGATTTAAAATGATGAGCCTTAATTACAATAAATTTTGTGGACAAAACTCTGGGGATTTAAAAGACTCTGCAGTGGTTTTGAAATATTATGTAATAGTAGCGAGACATTTTAGAAAAATATTCCAATACAGATCGACATAAATTCATTATACAAGTTAACTTAAAATGCATGATACTAAGATATCAATTTACTTATTTAATTATAGTTTTAAGGGATGCCGCTTGTTCCTGATGAATAATTATATTTTGTGAAAACGTTACATTGCTTGATTGTTTTATCTTTCTATATATTTCAATTCTCTTCCGAAAGCAGTTTTTCGTTTAATTATGTACGCCATGTCCGTCTGTCCGTCCGACCGTCTATCCGTCTATATATTGTATATGCAAACTAGTCCCTCACTGTTTGAGACATTTGTCACCGTTGCTCATTTGTCGGAACCGCCGATACCGGACCACTATAGCATGTAGTTGTCATACAAACTGATATAATAACTGATAAAGTTATTTTTATACTCCTTTATGCTATAAAAAAAGTACCGGGAAGGATATTCGTGCAGCTTCGGTGCAGCCGAATTTAACGTTTTTTTTCTTGTTTTTGTTTTTGTTTGTGCATGTTAAGCTCCCTTAGAAAAATTTGAATTGAATGTGGGACATACATTTTTTGACCTATATCTTTAAAGCATATTTCTACGCTGAGGTGTAAATGTATATAAGTTTTAATTAAAATCTAATCGGGAATATGTTCAATTTGAATTCCCTACAGTTGAAACTATTAATTTAAAATATGCTTAAATACATTCCAATAAAAAGGTCAACAATTTTAAATTGAAATTAATTTCTTAGAAATATATTGCATCACCTTTATTATTTAAAAATATTGTTTATAAAATGTATAATGAAACAATATGTTAATTAGTTTAATGATAAAAAAACGCCAATTCTGAATAACTTCAAAAAAATATTTGATTTTAAAAGTGGTTTAATAGTATTTAAAAATTCTACTATCCATTAATTTGAATTGGAAAGTATTATTTGTCGATATGAATAGAGTTGAAAATCCTTCACGTAATTTTATTTCAATTATAATTTTAAAATGTAGTGACTCTATCTTAAATATGAAAAATATTGCATGCTATATATATTATAAATACTTCCACGATTATACAACATAATTTTAAAATAAATTATGATTTTTTAGAGATATGATTTTCAGGAAGATTAGATTGCAAAGCCAATATTAATAATTCCTTCTTCTACTGTTTACGAAAATTTTAAACAAAAACCTTGCAGAAGCAAATTTCTCAATAATTTCTAAATTTTATTTTAATTTTAACCCGAAAACTTTTGTACAACTTAAATAATAGTATACTAAAAAATAATAAATTTTGATCATCTGGCCATGCATGTCCAAATAAGCAGTTTTTTTGATTTTATATAGAACTGTCTTTAACTGAACTATCATTCCAACGCCAGCACTAAGTTTAATTTTACCCAATTAAAAATTTTGCAATATAATTTTCTTTTCTTTTCGTTTTTGTTTTTTTTGATTTTAAATAATATTTACTGTTGCAACATGTTGCTTCCGAGTATACCTATAGTTTTGTTCACCTAACGGTTGTTTGTATCACCTATAACTAGTCGAGATGTATTTATAAATAATCAGGATAACGAGGGTTGAAATCCGACTGACTGTACGTGTAAACGATAACTTGAGTAAAAATTGAGATATCTTGATAAAACTTCCTACACATATTCCTTGATTTTGCAAATGGGAGGAATCAGACCATTGCGAAGTCCACAAAAAGACATTACACCAAAACTTTTAAAATACCTTAACTAATTCGCAAATAAGATGCAAAACTGTAGCTAAAGACACCTGTGGGCAAACTTTTTTTAAATGGACGTGGTTTCGCCCTCTTAATGGTTTAATATACATATCTTCCAAACAACTTAAGATATATCAACCTAACTTGCTGGAAAGAAGTGATTTTAGCACCGGTCTCTTTCGGGTAATAAAGACGCCCACTCCCAAAATACCGGTTATCTGGTGTGAAAATTGGACAAGGGGTGTGGCAGCGCCCACCTTAAGGTGAAATCGTATATCTCAAAAACTACTCGACCGATTTCCACCAAATATGTTGTGTGAGATTACCCAAACATTCATACTAGACACTGCAAATCGAATGAAAACCACCTAACCTAATTCACATATAACAAACTTTTAAATTCAGTCTGATTCTTTCACTTTACAGTATATAAATCAAACACCAATAAAGTTGTCAGAATAAAACTTTGCATATATAGTGTCCTAAAGGTATTTCATCTTACGTCCAAAATTATCGAAATCGCACTATAACTTCTGCCAAAAATAAATTCTTGGTTACTTTAATAAACTCCTTACTTAGTTATAAGTATTGATGTGATCAGCCAATTAGGATTATTATTAATTCTACTTCATTTTATATACACAAAAGGCAAAATAGAAAGTGGATAGATATTTCAATCTAAATTGATCTTTTTTTTTCCCCCAACAATATTATTAAATTATATCGCTGAAGGCTTTCGGAGTATTACAGTTCCAAACATTATAAACTTTGTGCTGTGTCTTGCAAAATGTTCTTGATAGCTTAAATTAACAAATTAACTAGCTCTATTTTAAGTTTGATAATTTAAATCACTTCAATTGTTACTGTTGCTCGGACATTTCATTATTATATATTTAGGCGTTGCCAACATTTAGGACGAGCAACGAATAAGCAAGAATTACAATTTCAATGTTATTCCGTAAAAATGAAAGTTATGTGTTTTTCTATATTTTTTATCACATTTATATTTTTTGACAAAAACTTGTTTTTAAAACGAAACAAATATCCTTGAAATAGATGGCTACTTTGAAATATAAAATGTTGAAGACTATTACTTAGACTACAATTTTTAAGTTAAATAAATATTATTTTTTTAAACGATTAATTTAAATTTTTTATTTGTGCACTTTTTTCACACTCACACTTTTGTCATGCAATTTATTCGATAATTATGACAAACTTAAAGTCATGTTTTTTTATTATACCGTTAAGTATATTATTTCACAGCTTACGAGAGTTTGCGTTATCTTTTTATTTGGAAAACATTTTGAATATTTTGTTGCTCTTTTCCCACAATTAAATCTTTTCAAATTTCCACAAAAGTTTTGTGTCATTATCCGAGTAAAGTTCTTATCATTGGCAAATTTGAGAGTCCAATTGTTTCTTGTACACTTACCAGCGTCGGAAAATCCAGCTAAGGCCACAACAACAACTGTCGAACAAATGATAACATCCAAACAGTAGAAAGACTTCATTTTGATAAATCCTTTGTTGTGTGACAAAACCCGACAGCGATGAAAATAATCAAGGAAACAACCTTGAATTCCAAGTGTTGCAATTTTTTGTGAAAAAAAGAAAAACCAAAACAAAAAGATCGAAATATTTAAAAATAACCGTTGCTGATTTGCATACAAACAAAATGTGCAACAAACGAAAGAGCGATGCGAACTTTGTGACGGCAACGTGTTTGAAAGTCTCGGGATGCGACTGTTCTCCGTTGCGCCTCGCTGGTGAGGATTTGCAGGCGAGGGATGGCCGAGTGACTGATTCGAGTCACAAAAATGTCACAAATTCACACTTTTCGCTTGTTGCTTGGTTGTCTTTGGCGTACTTTGCCTTGCGACGCTCACCGAAATTATGCTTGATAACTGTTAAAACGCATGTCCTTTTATACGGAAAAGACAAAAGCCATCGCCGTTAGGCTAATAGCCAAGCGAAGCAACAACGCGTTATGATGTAGCAACATAGCCGCAAATACCTATGCCAACTTGCATGTGTGTGTATGGCAACATTGACACAAGCTACACGAACGCTAGGGATGACAGCACCATAAACAACATTGTCACCAATACCAAGACGTAGCAACGACGACAGGATATGTCAACTTTTCGACGCATTTGCGTGCAACACTCTTTATTTACATACACACATATACCATATGTTAATGAGCAATAGCACCAATACATTTTCATATGTACCATTACTGGGGAAATTTCCGATTGTTACTGTACATTTAGTGTTGTGGGCGTCCCTAAATGCTTTGTAGCACATGTACCTTAGTGGTTGCACATGTACGTGTGTGCACTGTCCTTACTCCGTTTTTTAAGCCGCATGAATGAAGCTGCATATCTAGACGTGCAACTGTAACAGCATCAGTCTAAAGCCTTATACCTACATATTAGTATAGGTTTTAGTCTATATCTCTCATATATCAAGTTTTGCTTTTGCCGCAATCAGCTGCTTACCACCAAATTTGTAGCAACATTTGTAACTGGTGATTGTGTTCAGGGATTTCGAGCAACATGTTGCTGAAGAGACTTATGCGTTTTTTTTGTATTAAAAATGTAAAAATGTGTCTATTTATGCCTTGATAGAAAGTATGTCTTACTACAATAACAAATACAAGAGAGACCGAAATAGATTAAATCCTAATACTGCAAGTAATTTCTTGTAAAGTACACCATTTTCACAAAAAAGTTAAGATTCTTTCAACTAACCTTTTGTGGATTATATTATGGAAGAGTGAGGCATACAATCTAGCCCTTAAGAGAGAGAACTACTAAGACAAATATTCTCTAAATAAGATATAGGAGATAAGGCTGCATTACCTAAAATTGACAGTTTTATTTGATGTATTCTAAAAGCTGGGATAAATAAAATTCTAGTATAATAACTCTAGCAAATTAGTTTCTTGCTCAATTCCAGCCGATTAATTAATTAAAACAATATGGTTGGGTCAAGAAAGGACAAAAGCCCAATATTTGGATTAATGGATCCGTAGATTTTTCTGCTCCTTCCATCGAGCGCTAAGATACGATATGGTTATGTTTTGCAGATAATATTAGGTAAAGTAAAAAGTTCATTCGGTTTTTTATTGATTTTTCAAAAGATGATAACTTTGTGTACATTTGTCCGATTTAAGTCAAATATGCGCCGTTTTGTTCGTAAACTTGTTGACAACGAGATGTCAACTTTATTATACCCCTCTCGTAGATACCCCTATTGCCAAAAAACTCGGAGAGCCAATTTTCACAGGCCTCTCTTGAGGCCAACTTCTCACCATTAAGCGCGTTCGCCATGGACAGGAAAAGATGGCAATCACTTGGTGCCAGGTTCGGACTATAAGGTGGGTGCATTAGAAGCGAATCACCAAAGACGTGTGTGGCCTGGCGTTGTCCTGATGGAACACAATTCGGCCTCTGTTGATCAAAGATGGTCTCTTCTAGATGAGTGTTGCCTTCAAGCGGTCCAGTTGTTGGCAGTAGAGGGCCGAATTGAGCGTTTGGCCATAGGGGAGCAGCTCGCAGTAGATGATTCCTTGCCCATCCCACCAAACACACAGCAAAACCTTCCTGGCCGTCAATCAGGTCTTGGCCACCATCTGGGCCGCTTCCCCGAGCTTTGACCACGACCGTTTGCGCTCGATGTTGTCATAAGTGACCCATTTTTCATCGCCAGTCACAATCCGCTTCAGAAACGGGTCGATTTTGTTGCGATTCTGCAGCGATTTGCAGATGGAAATTCGGTCCATCATGTTTTTTGCGTTAGTTCGTGTGGCACCCAAACATCGAGCTTCTTTTTGAATCCAAGGTTATGCAAATGGTTCCAAACGGTTTTCTGGCTTATCTTTAGTTCCTCAGCAATTAAATAAGTGCTCACGTGACGGTCTGTTTCCACTATTTCCATGATTTTATCGCAATTTTCGACGACAGGCCTCCCGACGCGTGGTGCATCTTTGACATCGAAATTACCGGAACGGAACCTAGCAAACCACTTTTGTGCTACACGTTGGTTTACAGTATCGGGCCCATAAGCTAAATTAATTTTTTCAGCCGCTTTGGCTGCTTTGTCGCTTTGATCGAAGAAAAATTGTAAAATATAGCGAATTTTCTCTTTGCTGGTGTCCATATTTGACGAGCGCTCACAACGGACTGAGTCAATCAATCGAACAACTGTCAAAGACAAACTTTTAGCGCGAATAAACACGTTTTCATTCCCGTATAGTATGGCATGATGCGACATGTAACACTAGTACTATGGACAATAACGCCATCTCTTAGATAAAAACCGAACGAACTTTTTACTTGACCTAATATCTTTTGTTTTGCAGTTTTTAGCTTTAGCCTTAGACTTTCTCGTCTCAATATCTAGCAACTGGCAACAGGTTAGCCAAGTAACAATACTTGGAGGATGCATCTACTCTAGGATGCGACTGCAATGGACTTGCAGTTTTACCAGGAAAAACATTATATCATTTTAAATAATATACTTTCAATCACCCTGCTTTACTATTTAACAGCGAATTAGCCTGAACGGACTTGTAAAATACTTAAGGCACTTTATACAAGTACTCGTATATATGGGTTTTACGAGGGCTGCTATATAGCTGGCTGGCCTAGGCAACACTAAGTGTTGCCAGGTGCAATCTGACATTTCCATTGGAAAGTTTGACATTTTTTAGCATAACATCACTCAGAACTTTTTGTCATTTAATCGTGAATTATTTTATTTACAGGTAATTAAAAAATTCATCTCGGCCAAAAAATGGAATTAACTCGTGAACATTTTCGTGCGATCATTTTTCACAACTTTCGAACTCGCTCAAAGACGAATTCCGTGAAGGTCGTCCAAAAACACCCGTTGTGCCAGAAAACATCGATGCCGCACATGAACTGATAATGCAAGACCGTCATGTAACATACCTTCAGGTAGAGGCATGCCTATGCATTTCTTCCACCAGCATACGTTCGATATTGCATGAACACCTGGCCGTAAAAAAGGTTTGTTCTCGTTGGATCCCGATCGCTCAAAAAAAGGCTCGTGTGGATTGGTGTAAATAAATGCTGAAAAAATACGATCGCGGTGCTTCAAAAGACGTTTATAAGATCGTCATAGGTGACGAATCATGGATCTATGAGTATGAGCCCGAAACAAAACAGCACAAAACAGCAATCGACCTAAAAAAAAAAACCATTTTCGTTGATGAATACTCGTATTTTCATTATTAGGCCAGAAATATATATAGCAGCCGTATAAGTATTTAAATTTTTGGTAACTAAGGGATCTGTCTGTCAGCTCAAGTACAATTCCAGTGATCATGCGGTTCGTGGAACACATAAAATAAAAAAATAAAGAAAAAACGTTAATATACCTATAGTTAATACCACTCACAAATACAAAAGATTCCTTCAAATAACTTGATTTCGATCGGTCAGTTTGTATGGTAGCTGTATGCAATATTGATTCCACCGCAAAAATTTTTTCGAAGATTGCATCATTGCCTTAGACAAAATCCTCACCAAATTTAGTGAAAATATCCCGTCAAATGAAAAATGTTTCAATACAAACACTTGATTCCAATTGTTCAGATTGTATGGCAGTTATTTGCTATAGTGGTCCCATATCGGTTGTTCCGGCGAATGAACAATTCCTTAGGGAGAAAAGAGCGTGAGCAAAATCCCAGATCCTTCCTCTTCAAAAACTGAGAGACCAGTTCGCGTGTATACAGACAGACAGATGGACAAGGCTGAATCAACTCAACTCGTCACGCTTATCGTTTATATATATATATATGTATTTTTTAGGGTCTCCGATGTTTCTTTCTAAATTTTACAAACATCATGGCAAACTTAATATACCCTGTTCAGGGTACCAGATACCAGACTATTATTTTGAATTTTCACAAATTTTTTTATTCATTTCTTCTAAACAACTTCAATTTAATATAAATTTATTTGTTCTTGCAAAGCACAAAATATACGTATGGGTTAGTAAACTTAAACTTAAGCTGCTAATTTGAAAGTACGTATAACACACATTCTCAACTTATAACCAACCGGATATCATACGACCAGTAACTGTCGATTTGCCACGTTCACCACCCGCAGCCGCACTGCTTTGACCTACCTTAATTGCTGGTTTAGCCGGAGCAGGTGCCGCTGCTTTTTTATCGTCCGCCTTTTTCTCGTCAGCTTTCTTTTCGTCCGGTTTCTTGTCATCGTCCTTCTTGTGGTCCGCTTTCTTCTCATCTGTTTTCGCCGTCGCACCCGTACCAGTGGTCGCAGCGGAACCACTACCACTCGCACCAGTAGAGTCACCAGCCGCTTTGGTGGCTATCGGACCCGCTGCAGGCGGTTTTGCATCGCTTCCCGCTACCGGTACATCGGGTTTTGCACCCGCGGGCGCAGCTGGGGCAGAAGCTTTAGCGGCGGTAGCGGTCGCACTAGCACTTGCAGCAGCGCCTGGTTTCGCGGCTTCTGTCTTAGCAGTGTCTTCCTTTTTGACAGCAGCTTCTGGTTTTGTAGCTTCGCCGGGTTCAGCAACAGCAGGCTTAGCTGCAGCGGAGGCGGCGGATGAACTGTCAGCTGGTTTAGCTGCTGTTGCGGGTTTGGCATCGGTGCTGCTTGGCTTAGCGGTGTTAACCTTCTTAGCAGCTGCGTCTGGTTTGACAGCGGCTGGGGGTGGTGACTTTACAGCAGAAACTGCAGTAGGCTTCGCTGCATCAGTTGGTTTAGCGCCAGGTGCAGCTGGTTTTCCAGGCGGAGCCGGTGCGGCTGGTTTAGTGTCACCTGGTTTACCATCGCCTGGCTTACTTTCCTTTGCCTTGGCATCGGTGCTAGAGGTTTTGGATACAATATCAGCCTTTTCTTCGCTGGCTGCTTTCCGATCATCCGGTTTTACTTTTTTTGACTTTAAGTGAAGGGAAAATTTGTGTATACTTAATTGTAAAGTATTACCTTAAGGTTAGTACTTACGCCTCCAGCAGCTTTTTCATCTGTGATGGTAGCGCTTGTTGCCGATGCCTCTTCCGACGCGGCTGCAGCCCCATCTTCGTCAGCGGCCATCTTCTTCTTCATGAATTTGACGTAAGCAACACGTGTGGCGCGTGTCACATCACCCAAATTGGGATTAAATTCTGTATGATGACGCAACAAATGAGATAATATATTAATTGATGAAGCTCTACGCACCAATTAATTGATTCTGGTTCATCTTCAGGCCCTCGTTAGCCTGATCGATGATCTTGCGCCGCAAGCTGCGTTGACTGTGTCGCTGTATAGACGAACGCTTAGAGCCAATCGGATCGGCGGTCATTGTGTTCTGACGTGCAATTGCATTCCAGTCTTTCTCACTGTAAAACATTAAGAAAAGTGTTTGAATCGTTGTACCTTCCAGACAGGAGTTAAATGAATCTACCCAGATTTCAGTGACTTCTTCTTGCCAATCACCCTCGCTAAAGAGGAGAATATATCTTTGCTACCCTCATCGCCTACCGTCATCTCATGCTGCAAATTCTCAACAAACCCGATTTGGAAGTCTTTCAGTATACGACGCTCCATCACTTTACCCTTCTTAGTGCCGGCAGCCGCAGCTGTGAACACACATTTAATATTCTCAGTGCACTAGGGTATCATTTCATTGTCGCAATCATTTCTTACTCACCTGCTGTTTTCTTCTCAATATCGGGCACATTGAATCGGTTCGTTTGAAAAATGTCCAATAGCTCGAAACGCAGCGAGCTAATGTCCTGACGTACTTCAATGATATCATCTTCGGTTATGCCATAGTCGTCACGACGGCGCTGTTCTGCGGTGACAAAGCGTCGTATCAGCAGCTTCATGACTTTGTCGTGCAACGCCTGTGAGCGCTCCTTCGTCTTGCGCTGCAAGTAAGAGCGAGATAGCATGTGAGTCAGAAAGTGGGAGATTTTACTGCAGCTATTGGAGTCAGGAAATTAGATTGGAAAATATCTGTTTTTTTTTTACTGTAACACTTTGGTGCCGATTGGGACAGCGCCGTGTTGTTGCCGTAAAGCCGGTCACCGGTCTATCAAGCTGAGAAATTGTTAATAATGACTAACTATTTATTTTTATCATCGCAAGGGGTTTGTACCTTCTTTCCAACAACGCCTATTTACAGTGTTGGCAGATGAAATGAGATATTAGGGAAAGCATTGTGAATTAAATTTGTTTGCAAAATTTATTAATATCGCCTCGCAATCCTTTAAATAAAAGTGTGTAGAGTGAAAAAAAATTTAAACAAATTCCAGGAGAATTCACACTCTTTAAATTAAACTTATATTGAAATAAGGGAAAATTAGGTAGTCTACACCGCGGTAATATAATGTACGTCACTAATATCGGTATTTTGAGGAACTAGGTTCTTAAATAGGATATATTTACTTGGAACTCCTGATAGGGTAGTCGACGCAATATAAGTAGAGAACATTGGTAAGCTGGCAGAAAGGTCAGGAACGAAGGAATATATTGTCCTATTTTCTCTATTTTGATATATAATTGCCACTTACAGTTTCATTAGGAGTATTTGGGATCTGGGGAAACGTTTCAGATTCGATTATTTACAGTTATTTCCAGTGACTAGAAAAATCTACATGTGCGGTCGAATGATATTTTCGGGAAACTATTTTTCACAGTTTTTTATGTATTTTAAAAGTAACTACATACTTCGATGTTTTGTTAGGTTTTAAGGCCAATCCCCTGTGACGGAAGTTACTGGTATCTTATTTGGATAGTAGAAAGTTATTTCTGTGTGATGCTAAAACTCCTAGGTATGTATGAAGAAACCCTAATATTTTGACGAAGATATGACCTTATGAGCGCTTATATGTTTCAACATCAGTCTAGCGAAACTTGGTCAGTCGAAAAGAAAGATTCGAGATATTTCCCCTTGTCTACATCCAGACGAATTCGAGAGCAAAATTTTTTAAAATACTGCCCTTATGAGACATTTCAGCATAATCTACTAATGTATACTGTAGATATATTTTAGGTGCAATTAAATTGTACAATATAAAAAAATTTAAATATCGAAGAAATTCACTCCTTTATATGATAATCTTTACCAGATGGATATAAATTTATTAATCCAAAATTACAGGGTTGCTCACTCACCATGAAACTTTTAGTGCGCTTCGGTCCCTCCTTGCCCAGTGTCTTGCGTAGCAGCTTCACCGACGGCATAATATTGAATGGCGGCGGCACAGTGCCACCATCCTCGAAATAACTCATCCATAGCTGGGAGCGTGCAAATTTCCATTCAACATCTGCGCGTTCCGAAATAATTTGATACGAGTTGGACATCATAGCAATAAGCATGTTGAGAAGCACAATTATATTTATAACCGAGTATGACCCGAACATAAGTAGAGCCCAAAATCGAGTGAAGCTCTTAATGCCAGCCAAATCGAACGATACCAAATCGACCAAACCGAAGGAAGCCCAAAAAAGTGACTGTGAGGTTTCAAACAGGCTGCAAAGAGGGAAAGTATTGTTCCAAATTAGTGATATAATTACCATAAATACCTTAAAAATCATACTTCGAAAATCGTCGCCAAATAGTACAAGCTTTTTCCTGGTCATCGAAATCCGCCACATCTGGATGCAAGTGATAGCACTTGTTTTTCTCCAGTTCAGCATAATACCACAACAGCTGATTTAAGCCGCAGCCGAAGGCGAATAGCACCAAAGTGTAGATGAAGAAAAATTTGATGATATCGATAATCATGCGCCCCAATGAGACTTGCAACGGGCCCAAATGTGGATTGATTGAGAAGATATGGACCAATTTTAAATAGGAGAACACCATGCCGGCAGCAAAGGCGCCTTCGGAAAGTAACATCGGATCGAAAGGGTGCCAATGTTCGCGTGGAAAGTAAGGATCGATGCCGCGGTACCACAAATCTCGCTGGAGGCGAGAAAAGAATTTCACCTTAGGTAAAATTATGCGTCTTTTATATTATGAAAATGAAATATTGAAGTAACAACAACTTTCTACAAAATTTCGGAGACAAGAGAAGGGAAAAGGCATTAAATAACTCTATAAATATAGCACAAGAACACGGCGATTTTGAATCATTTCAAGCGAATGATCGATAGGTTTACTACTCAACCTCTCTCTGGCTTTCTATTTGAAAGTGGATGCACTCGACTTGAGAATGAAGTAGTAACCGTTACTTACTTCGCATTCTCCGTTACCAAGGGAGTTCTCGGATTTCTGCGGACAATAAAGCACAACTAAATAATTTACCGATAGAAATGTTATTTTGGGGAACTAAAACCGGTATTGTTAGATAAGGAGCTCTCTTTCTTTTTCCTACGTTGAGTATAAAATTATTACTAATTCATACCCAACGAAATGTTTTCTCTTGAATTTGAATGATGCATTTCTGGACTGGATTTTAAATTAAAATATCGGGAGTCTATATTCAAATAGCTTACTACAATATTAGAGTTGGAAGTATTGCAGAAGCATGAACGGCGAAATGAAAAAATTATATGGTAATACAAAGATTTATAAAAAATGCTACTAACATGTACTATAATCCATGCTGTCGCTCTACAAAGAATCCAAGTGACATAAAACATGTTTGAAACGAAGTCGACGATATTCCAAAGATCCATGATATACTCGAACAAACCATCAGAATAAAGCGTTTTCAATTCACCAAACACGAGACCTTAAAAATACAAATTATGAGTTCTAAGTAAATTAATACATTTACTTACTGGCAATATAAGTGATAATGCCCAGCTCGATCGGCCCTGGCAAAGAGCCACGCTCATGCTTCCGCCAATCCTCCAGCATTGCCAACATCCAAGGGAACCCAAGCAACTCGAATGATAGTTGAACGACACGCAGCGATGCAGCACCGAGAAGCACTAAAGATAAGAATATATTAATACTTCAGTGTTTTGTCCGTAACACATCCACCGCCCAACTTACTCAAAAAGAACATGTACGAACAAGAATGCGAAATGAACTTCACAAATGGTTTTCTCATGAATTTGCCTGCATCTGAGTCCGGCGCCAGTAGATAGTTCATGCTGTTAATGGGAAACATAGTGCCCAGCTTCATTACTTCGATGATCTGTTGTGAGGCTTGTTTGCGCCTAAAACCGGGTAGACCCTCATACCAAATAGCCGCCAGTAATTGTTGCACATTCGGATGTGCCACAAACTAAATTGTGATGACGAAGAAGACATTGCAAATTTGATTTATGCAAGTACAACGACAAAATCAAATATGTTTTTGATAGGGTATGCTGAGTACATTAATTTCTTACCGCTTTCTGTTTGTATCTTATGGCTAATTTGAGGCGCTCCAACGTTTGCCGCTGTCCTGGCATCCAAATGTCCGTGGTTGGCTCGTGATTGAAGTTGAGCATTACCTCCAGTTCGGTTGAAGTACGTGCATGATCCAATAATGATGAGACAAACGCTTGCACACCCACACGCATTTCCTGGAGACATAAGAAAGTGCACACACAAACAAATATCATTACAGTTATGCACATAAGTAAGTATACAAATATCCAACATATGGTCACCTAAAAAATGCCTAAAGAAGCTGCATAATCGCAACATATTCATTTTACTACTAAATAAATGCATTTAAGCGCTAATTTTATTGTCTATTCCTTTTTTAGCTTCTTTGTAGCTTCTTCCCACAATTATTTTACTTTTTCTTTTTTTTTTCTGCACATTATTACATTCACCCTAATTCTTACCGTGTATTCCGCTCTGAATTCGGATTCCATTGCCTGGAGTCGTTTCAATTCCCATGACAATTCAAAAGCCGTTAGAACGGGATCGCGTGAGCTAAGTGCTATCAGTGAACTGGCAGAGAGGGCGCGATAGGCGTTGATACGCGATTGTGAGTGTCGCAGCGAATCGGTTTCTTGGGAGGTGACACACTCATCGCAACCACATCTATGCAAGATTAATTTAAATGATTTTTAGTCAGAAAGTACAGTAAATAACCTAAATTAAAATGATGATTTGATTTTAGAAGAATACTTAACTTCTGTTTACCATTAAAAGAACTTATACTCAATGTTCCACAATTCATTGAGGTTACATAGTTTTGAAAATATCTATCCAAAGCTGTTGGGGAGGCATTATAAACATTTTCACGACAGCCCAGTTTATTGTACTTGTATTACAGATGAGTATTACTTTATAAACCGATACATATCTTAGACCACAGAACGAGAGAATCATGGCAGATACGATATTAGAGATAGATATTTTAGAATAAATAAAATTACAATTTAGTAAAAAAGTAAGTTTTCGGCGCTATGAAGTTAGCGCTCGAAAAAGAATTGAAGTTCAAAATTTGCCTTATTGTTAGATAACTTTATGATAATGCTTCATGTCCTCAAAAGTCAGATCTTGCAGAAACAAATTTGGCGATTTTAAAATATAAATATGGATTTTACTAATAAAATATATATTTGGGACCTTCGCGGTTATCGGAGTAAGTGGTTTAGAAAAAGTAATAGGCGCAAACCTCCAGTAAAAATATTCGTTGAAGACTCGATAACTCAACTAAACTTAATTGTACAATCGATGAAGTTTTCTTCAGATGAAAACTTCTATCGTTTAGATTGATACCAGAAACGACCGAAATCGGTTAATAGTTAAGCTTCGGAGTATAAAACAACTGAAACGATTCCATTCAACTAAGACAAAGTACAATATATTTGGAACAAGAAAAAATATTTCTTAACTAAACAAAGTTGCTCAATAGAAAGGTTTACAAAATTGTTTGCATGATGATCACCTTTTTCCCCTCAAACGACCATTGATCAATAGCAGCACTCATAGTTTCTATTGGTATTGACGACGCTCCTCGAATCAATGTTTTTTGCGACTCTTCAAATGTCTTTAGGGTATTCTTCTACAGTGACCACAAACTATAGTCCAAGGATTCATTTGTTTTTCACCTTTTAGTTTAATGTGCTTCAAATGCAAGTTTTTTAGTTTTTAAACAATATTTATACTTTAGACACGTGTAGTGATTTCGCTATCCTTAAGGATGTGTTTGAGAAAATTTATTATTATTCAAATGCAGGCATGAATAGTTGATGATTTTAGCTGCATAGTTTTAGGTGCGGTTTTTTGTTTTTTGCAGAGGCTATCAAACTGTTGATTTTTTCTATTCTATTAATAAAAGCGTTGAAAAGCAACACTTTTTTCTGCGAAATAGTCCTCGCTGTACGCATTGTAAACTTTGTAACAGAATTTGTGGCTAAGTATGGTAAAATGGCTTAGAATACCATTTCTATATTTTTATACTGTCGCAACCTGTTGCTACAGAGTATAATAGTTTTTAAAGTTATTTTTTTAATTATCAGCAGAATACAAAAATAAAATAAATATAATTTAGACCAATTTTAAGTGAATCATTGACGAATGTCAAGCCATCAACGGATAACCTGAAAAACCAAAAGCAACACAGGGGGACGCAGCAAAATCACCTTTGAATTGCCTTACACCCCCACATCTGCTAAGCATACCCCACGTTGATACGAATGGAATTATTTTAACGTCATTTTATGCGGCATGCAACATCAAACAGATGACAACAACCAGGGCAGAGGCGGTAACATTTCAAAAATAATGCAAATTCGTCGAAAATCACGTAAACATACGCATGCGGAGAGCGGAGCGGCGCCACGACTGTGCATAGGGACAGCACAAATAAGGAAACGTGCCAAACGCGACTAATTTCGGCTATAAGAACTACGAAGAACGATTTTGCGTGTGTGGGGGCATCAAAGCGGTATTGGTAAGCAACCAATAGAAAAGAGACACCATGGCCTATGTGTTGGCACCATTTGTAAATGGGTCAATAGTGTTGGAGACGATGGAAAAATATTACAAAACTATAACGGAAGTGCTAACCAATACATTGATTAAGCAAACAAGCTGTCGAATTGCAGCGGATAATAGGTATCCGAGTTTCAATGTTAATTTACTCTTATGTGTGTTTTTGTGCTCACAGTTTTACTCACTTCACGTCATGCGGCATCGGCAGTGTTGCACCACGATCCAATAGAATTTTGAGTATCTCGTAATTGTTGCGATGGGCTGCTAATATTAATGGCGTGATATCCGGCGTGAATGTCGACTTATTACGGTCAACAGCTTCCCAGCTCTGTAATTAGTAATTAATACATTGAAAAATACATTATTTAGCGATCAACACATAGACAAACTTACATACACATACATGCGTACTCACTGCTTATGGCCACTAATGTCACAACAATTTCGGCTGCACTTCTTTCTATACTTACATAGGGTTGCCCATCTTTGTGATGCGTTTCCTCCCACTGCAGCAATTCCTCGACAGCTTCGACATACTCCTCTGAGATGGCATGCAACAGCGAGTCGCCCACTTCGATGCCACATTCCAGCAGTACAATGATCAAGTCGAAATTCTCATTCTCAATGGCAGATATAAGTGCTGAGCGATTGAGCGGATCTACGCAGTTTATATTAAACTTATCCGGTTGACCCTTATTGTCTTCGATTATTCTGGAAAGTACAAATTAAAAGTATATACTACATTTGTATAAGCGAAATTAGATTAAAGTCATTCTACGTACTTTTTAACACCCTGTATGTCACCACGTTCGGCCGCTAATATGAAATTCTTTTCGATCTCATTTAGCATGTACTCCTCTCCCATCGAGATGTTATAGTCGGGTTCACCTTTTTCGGGGTCATCGTCACCGCCCTTTCGTTGTGACATTTTGATCTGCTCATATATTCAATGAGCAGTAAATTCTTCGTGTCTTAAAAGTATCGCAATTTTTAGTTACTTGGAAATTCGTATAAATCTAGATCGTAAAAAATAATAATAATTACAAATTATTTAAATTCAAAGTATTTTATTATTTAACCGTAAAAAAAATTAAATGATTTCAAAAAGTTTAAATTTTGCAGTGTAACCGTAAGCATAAGCCAGTCTAGGAGGCGATTGTTCCTTCTGGTATCAAAACGAATAGCTCCTTTGAGGTATATATAAATGCATATCGAATAGACTCAACGTTTATAAGTGGAGTTACTTAGAATCAAAACAAGAAAAAACATTAACTTTGGCTGCACCGAAGCTAAAATACCCTTTACATGTGCATTTTTTCTTGCATCAAAATGTAAAAAAAGATTTTTATCTCAATTTTAATCGGTCAGTTTGAATAGCCGCTATATGCTATATACCCGTGCCTAATTTCCTAAAGATACCTAGCCAAATAAAAAAGCTTTCCATTCAAGGACTTGAGTTTGATCGGTCAGTTTGTATGAGGGACTAGTTCGCGTACATACGAGGTGTGTTGAAAGGAAAAGGTGAATTTTGATTTTTCCCGGGCTGTTTACACTCGATTATCGATATTTTGTTTATGTTATAATTGAACACATATGTTTATCATGAGCTTGCATTAGGAGCCAATTTCGATTAGTAGTTTGTTTTTGACAACAGAAAAGGGTAATTACGTTTTTGTGTGCTCTTCGATTTTTGACTTTTGAAATAAATTGATCAAAGAATATGTGTTAAATTTTGCGTTAAAAATAGAACAAAGTGCCCCAAGGGAATTGAAATGTTGAATGTGGCATTCGGTGAGTCCACTTTGTCTCAAAAAAGTGTTTATAAGTGGTACAATCGCCTTACAGAAGACTGAGAAGATATTGATGCCGATGAGCATCCTGGAGGTGCGACCACGTCAACAAGCGAAGAAAACATTGAAACAGTGAAAAAATTGTTCTTGAAAACTTTCGAATCTGTATTAGGGCAGTTGCATAGGATGTTGGCATATCAATCGGCATAGTATCGCTCAGGAGTGATTTTCACCAGATTTGGCTCCCTGCGACTTTTTCCTATTCCCAAAACTGAAGAAACCAATAAAAGAAAAGCGTTTTGCTACAATTGATGAGATCAAGCCAGAATCGAAGAAAGAGCTGATGGCCATACCGCAGAGCACATTTCAGAAGTGCTTCGAGAATTAGAAAAAGCGTTGGCACAAGTATAATATATCCGAAGGGGATTACTTTGAAGGGGACAAAATAGATATTGATGAATAAATAAGTCCTTTCAAGAAAATTCAAAATTCACCTTTTCTTTTTCCTTTGAACACACCTCGTACAGACAGACAGACAGGCGGACATGACTAAATCGGATCGGCTTGTCACGCTAAACATTTAAAAACAATATAATATAATGCTTCTTAAGCATGAATCACTGAGCCTTCAGCAATCCTATCGACCGAGCCGATTTGTATGTGTGGGAACAAATTCAGAACGATCAGGGAGAAATATGTTATAGAAATGAAAATGCGAATATGAAGAAAGATATTTAGGAAATTAAAAAAAAAACAATTTATATAGAGGACACCTCTCTATCACACGTACGAGGGCAGTTCTTCTTATTTCACCATCTCGAAAAAGGCCATCGTCAAGATTTTCTACAAATTGGAAACATTGATTCGATTCTTGTGCTAGAAAGTAAAATTGGCTACTACAATCAATGAATGCTTCGATGCTGTTTACCCTGACTCTTCTCATTCGTTGGCGACCATCAAAACTAGTTTTACGTGTTTCAAAGTTCAAACCTTGGGTTTTAATCAGCCATGCTTAGGCTGTGAAAACCACGACGGTAGCTTAGACAGTAGCTGACTAAAGGGCCACGTGATAAAGTTTTAGGCTCGGTGGATGCCTCGTTTGCCCACTCCGGACAACCAGCGCAACCGTGAGAAGATTACACAGCAGTGCGTGGCACCGAACGAAGACAAAAATATATATTATCGGTAGTCACTGTCACAGAACAATGAAAATTCACGTGTTTTGTTTAGTGTATTTGTCACTGAAATCGATCAACATTACTTTACTCCATGATCTCACACTCTAGAACTAAGAAATTAATGTTTTTTTTAAATGCAGTTAACACCAGTGATTCACAGGAGATCAGAAGTCCTTCAAAATGTTTCTTAAATATAGTTTCATTAAAAACAGTTTCAGGATATTTTCACTTTAAACAGGATACTTGCATTTTAAAATTTTTAGAGTTTAATACAAGTTTTTTCTTAACTTAGTCAATGGAGATATATGAAAAATTGTGAGTTTTCGAAGGAATGGAAGGACACTTATACTACTATTCAACTTTAGTAATCTGTAACCCTACATGTGTGGACTGTGTATTGTTTAAAAGGATAATTGAAGTTTATTTTCAATTTATCACTCAATTATTCAATTTTTCACTTAGATTTAGTTTCTTAACTTTTCCACAATCATTAATTAAATTAACGCAATGTATACAAAACGATCGATATTTTCACATTGGAATGTATAGTTCCCGACAAACTTAATTTTTCGTTACTAATCAGTGAATTCTGCACTTTCAGTTCCCATCCCTTTCACGCATTATCCACATAACTGGAAACATTTAAATAATCCTTTACCCTTTTGATCCCTGATGAAATATTCTGAACGTATATCCTCTTCAACACCTTTACTTTTTCTCAGATTCTTCACTATCCATTTTTATTAAATCTTACAATTTAGTAGTTGATAGTTGAAGAATTCGCGAAGAACTGAAAATAATTTGCTCTAACGCCTTGGTATATGCTACTAATTACATTAACGTTTCGGCAAAAGTCGGTCATGGAAAGAATCGCAAAAATTCAATCGATCGTTGCAATAGGCTTTAAGTTAACGGCTAGTAAAAATAGTGGCAATAAGTGAAAGAATACAGCAAAACAATCAAACAAGCCCAATCAGCTGTTTAGAATTTTTTGCATAATATTGTCACGGAATGCGTTCAAAATAGACATGTGACTATTGACTCATTGATTTTGTGACATGTATTGATTATCGACTTGTTGGCTATTCAACTGCCGCGAGCACATAAGGTGTTCCAAAGAAAAAGCTTAAAAAGAGACCACAAAAATTGAACATTGCATTGAGTAGGTCTGACCGAATGGTAATTCAATTGACGACAAAGAACGCTTTTAGAAATCAAAAAAAGAATTAAAGTAAGATTTATTTCATATTATATTTTATTCCATCCTTAAATGTACATTTGCTTAATTTTATAGAAATAAAAATTTGAGTACTAATTAATATTTATGTTTCGTATATCATAGCAAAATCTTTATTATGAATGGTTACTGGTGATAAAAAGTGAGCTGCCGAAAGCCAAGCCAGGATTGACGGTCAGGAAGGTTTTGTTATGTGTTCGATGGGATTGACAGGGAAAAATCTACATATAATAAGAATACTATGGACTATTCTCCTACGGCCAAACTCTTAACTTTTACCTGTTCTGTCAATGGACCGTCTGAAGGAAGTAATCGCCAGAAATACCAAACTTTAGGGCTTTTAGGAGAGTAATTTTGTTCCATCAGAACAAGGCCAGGACAATTACATCGATAGTCGCTGACCAGCTCCAGGAGCTTGATTGGAAGGTTGTTATACATCCATCTTATAGTCCGGACTTTGAACCTGACAATTTTGTGAAAATCGACCGTCCCATATTCTTGCCAATAAAGACGAAGGTTTCTAACGGAGTGGCATAATGAAATTACTTTCAAATAATATCAATACCTATATCAGATCAAACTTCCTATAAAAGTAACCCCTTTGTCGGTCATTTAATCATTCATTCTGTTTCAAATGAACTTTTTCAAGAGAGATACTTTTTTTCTATAATCTCACAATGAGATTTAGCATCCGTGTGAGTCTAGATCTGTGTACTTTAAAATAAAGCCACAGGTGGTGAACATATTTCTTTATCCTTATACCACTTACACAAGCTCTTATTTGGCGACCAACACCCTTCATTAAATTTCCCAGACGAGTTATTGTAATTGTCAGGGCTGGAAAAAGCGCGGCCTATAAGTAACATGAGAGCCCGATGTTCTCTTTCCGTATGACTGTCTTCGGAATAGTCAAAATCAGATCTTCTCAGTGGAAAGTCAGTATCAGAAAAATTATGACCTATAGTTGGCTTCGATTCGAGGTTATATTTGTCAAACATCGCTAAATTGTTCTCCAAGCAAAACTCTAACGGTGCTGATATGCGTTTTCTATCCCGTTGCTCCTCACTTTCCATATAACTTTCATCGGAATACTGGCACACCGATTCTCTCAGCGCAAAATCAGTATCAGGCATTTTGGCATCAACGAGGTCATCTTTGTCGACCATCGGTTGTAAGTTCTGCATGCCAAATTCTAAGGCTGATGAATTGCCTTTTCTCTCACGATGCTCCTTCGCAATATAACTGCCGCAGCACTGATAACCAGATTCTCTCAATAAATAGTCCGTACCAGAAAAATTATGATTTATAGTTGACATCGATCCGAGGTCATCTCTGTCGATCATCGGGTGAAAGTTCTGCGAGCAAAATTCTATGGGTGTCGAAGTGCGAAACCCAATGTAAACTTGATTGATATTGTCTGTTTCGTTTAAATCTTGGGACAAGTTTATACAACTATAGTATTTAGTTATTTCATTACAGCTAAGCGAGCTCAAATCCAATGCCGCCTGATCGTAATATCTCTCCTTTGAATGTTCCGATCCAAGTTCTCTCGTTGAATGGTTGCTCCCGTATGTTTCATCGTTTCCCTGAGGACCATTGAAGAATTCCTCCAAATCCTTTGCTACACTATCATTCAATGATTCAGGTGAAGCAAAAACGATTTCTTGATTGTCGTCACCTCCTTTATTGTTACTTTCCGTTATATAGAGCTCATCGCAAGTATTTTCGGATATAACTTTAGCGAGTGCTACACCTAGCAAATCCATTTCAACCGGTTGTATATTACTTTTTACTGAATTCAAATCCACTTTGCTTAAATATAGTTTCTTATGACTTGTGCTTTCTTCAAAATCTGTTTTTCAAATGACTAAAACTTTTGGGTGATGGCTTTTTATACTGATTACATTTCAAAATATAAGTCTTCAGGTAGAAAAAATATTTGCGGCATGAAGGTCAGATAAAGCGGTATACCTGCTATACATCCTAAACAAGGATTTAACAATTAACTTTTCGAAAAAAATTATCATCAGCTCAGAGGCGAAATATAACCGATAAACTATTTCTATTGCCTTTCAAAATCGTTTTAGAATAATTGTTTCATAAAAATTAAATATTTCGTGGAAACTTTTTTTTATGGAAATCACGCCTTCCTCTGCTACACTAAATTGTATAACAATGTGATAAGGGTAAGAAGTAAGATAAGTTTTAAACAAAATTTTTGGTTGGTACTAAACCGGTGTCTTCCCTGGCTAAGTATTTAATAGAGAAAGAAATTACCAAAAGCTAAGTTAGCGAGTTGAATTAGTTCAAGAGTATAAAGTACCATAACTAACCTCCAAAATAAGCTACAAGGCTGTTATTTAGTACATTGAATTGCATTAGGGTGGGGCATCTATGGTTGAAAAAATAAATAAAATGTATTATTTGAGAGCGTTGGATGCTTTTGTCATATTTGTCGCATATCTAGCATATCACACACAGTACAAGTATTTTTCGGTCAATACTACTGTCAGTTTGTATTGAAAATTAGTTTTCACTTTTTAGTTTGAAGTGCTTTAAAAGTGTGTTTTTTAAACTATAATTATGTCTTTTTCATGCTTTAGCTTAAAGTGCTTCAAAAGCATGCTTTTAAGTTTTCTTAAGCCATATTGATTAAGTAGCCAAACGTAGTGTTTTCACTTTCTTTAATTTAATTTTAGGGTAATTTTTTTGTGTAATTTTTTTTGCAGAGCATATCAAACTGTTGATTCTTTTGTCAGGGCCATTAAGTTTCAGTACCATTGAAAAAAAAAAGTTACAAACATACATACATAGAAACATACAGGTGAAGCTAATAAAAGCGTTATAAAATCAGCCAAATGTCCAGATATTTGGTGTCTCGGTCTTTGAAAAGCATTAACTCGATTTAAACAATCTTTGAACATAAGATTAAATACCTTAAGGGCACTACTTGCAAAGTTTTATTCCGAAATATTAATTGGTGGTTGATTTGTATACTGAAAGTAAAAGAATCGGATGGAATTTAAAGTTATGTTACATAGGAAATAGACGTAGTTGTTGTCCGATTTCGTGTGTGTGTGTGAAAGTAACGGCTGTGTAACATAGCATACCAAATTTGGTTGAAATTGGTCGAGTAGTTACTGAGATTTTGGATACCCCTAATGATGTGTGGTGCCACGTCCATTGTTTAATTTGTATACCTGCTCCTATAAAGCCACCATCTTAGCTTTGAAGTTTAATGCTTTTGGCGCATTTATTAGTAGTTTTAAACACAACCGTTATATAGGGAGTGAGCGTTGTTATAATCTGATCTGACATTTTCACAGCATATGAAGAAGGGCTACAAAGACTTCCTCCCAGCAAGTTTGGTTGAGTTAGCTTCAGCGGTTTGGAAAATATGTGTATTATACCATTTTGAGGGCGGAGCTATGCCCATCCTTAAAATTTCAGCCAACAGGTGTATTTTTTTACCGTGGTTCGCTGTAGCAAATTACAGTTAGGTATCTTAATTTGGTACTTGTACTGCAATACCCACCTCTCTTGGGTCCCAAGGGATGACAAGTTTCATCAAGATATCTCAATTTTTACTCAAGTTATCACTTGCACAGACAAAAGTTACAAACATACATACATACATGCAAGTCTACAGGTGAAGCTAATAAAAGCGGTTTAAAAAATATATATGAATTTAGACATATGCTTTAAGCATAAGCATTCATAAGCATTAGGACATTATAGCTAAAAATCTATTTTTTAGGCTCACAAATTTCGCACAGACTGTAATAGCGTTTTCCCTAAGAAATGTTAATCCTTTCTCCCATTTGTTTCTAAAATAAAATTTGAAATTACTGTCACGCCCTATTTAAGTCGGTAAACCATATATACCTAACATTCGTTTTAAACGCAAACCTGGTGGACAGCATCATGCGTTCCGGTCTTATGCTAAGGTGCAATCAAAGGAAAAATCCGACGGTAGTAGGGAAAGTTGTATAGAATACTAGGTTACGCTAGTCGCATTTTGTGACGTAGTTGGACAACTATAAACTTGTTTAGGAAAACTAAAATATCAGTAAACATATTTCTTTACTATTTATTAGTATATTTTTTTAAGAACTTTACAAATGCTTCCTTGAATATAGAATAATATAAGTAATCGCTCTATAGCTAAAAATGGTTTAAAATTTATATATGTATATAAGATGGATACAATCTTCTATAGCATCAACCAACCCAATCTCAGTGTGACTAGAGTAAGTCATTGAGCGGCGAGACGTTCTTTTCCAGAGAATTATAGTTACAGTGCTTTAAAAAATAACATGCTTCCTTTTTTTCAAATTAATACATGTTCAACAATTCGGTCAGTTCTTCTCAATGTGTCACGTCGTGTCGTGAAATAAGAAAATTGAGTGCTATGTATTAGAAACGTTTTGAAGCAGTCTTTCTAACGAAGCATCCTAAAGGACCCAAATAGACTGCAAAATATTTAAATACGAGTTCTACATTCGTAAAGAGGTGATCTGACCATTATGAAGAAACTGAAAACGTAGATGACAACCTAAGAAGAAGGAGGAATCACATGACATCAAAAAGTGAGGACAAAGCTGTTGTTCTCCTTTATGTGAAGAAACCACTGCTCAGTCTAAGAGAAGCTAAGCAAATTTTGTTTAAAGAGGGATTATACGCAGCTGTACCGTATACCAACTATGGGCGCAGGAAAATATTATTTGGAGCAAAGTAATATTTACATATGAATCAACTTTTGTATTGTGTAACCCCGTTGAGACGTGTTTGGCTAAGAAAAGGACAAATATTAATTCAATGGAATTTTAAGCACCCCGAAAACTTGCACGTTTATGAATGCTTATTTGCTCATGGATTTGGACTTTGAGCTGCTTCGCAGGAAACTGAAGAATTATTAAATTATATAAAAAGGGTTTACTGAATTCAGCTGAAATTCTTTACGGCAAAAATAACCATGATTGAATACTGCAAGAAGACAATGATCGGAAACATAGGAGCAGACTCTGTATTGTTACTTTAGATTGGCCATCACAGTCACCAAACGCCAATCCAGTAGTGAATGTTTAGACTTCAATGAAAGCCAAAATATCAAAAAAACATTTAACGTCAACGAATGATTTCGTTCAGCTACTCCAACATACCTTCAGGCCGCTTCCTGTGGTTTATGTGGAAAATTAAGCTGCAACATCAAAGATGTCAGACTATAGCAGACAACGCGACTATAACAAAATAATGTATTTTCTATATTTACAACAGTTTTCCCAAAAAAAAAACGCTACCTACACTTGGGAAAACGAAAACGTTATTTTTTGAACCCACTCTATGTATATATTATACCATATGAAGTGAGTGTTAAGATACAAAGGTGTTGATATGGAACATTTGTTGTAAACGAGTTTTAATTTTTCTCTATTTGGTTGACATGACATCTGCTAAAAGCTTTGTGTATACATATATACACATATATGGGCATACTCGTAAATATACTACAAACTCCGTAAAATTAATAATAATACTGTTACTAAAAATTAAAGAAATCGACCTTTATCTACCCTTGCCTTCCAGACGAAAACCTTTTCGTAGTTTTTAGGCGAGGAGGTGACAATAAAAAAAGAGGGGCATCGAGTTACTCGTACTGGGGCAACATGCTTTGTGTTTTTAGGGGGGTCGGATCGTTTATGTCGAAAAAAACGATTTTTTTTCTTTAATCTCTTCAACAACTATCTAAACATATGCGTATAATATTAGCTTCGATTTCGAAGTCGTTTAGAAGATATTTAAGGTAAACGACAGCGATTCAACCACGTGTCAGTCGCTTACCAAAACTTTAAAGCACGTTTTCTGAAAACCATGTGTTTGCAATTGGCGTCGACGATTGCACGAGAACTATCTCACCTATCAATCTGATTAAACTTCTACTTTGTAAAGTATGGGAAATTGTTTTATACGAATCAAAGATATAGTAACAAAGCTTTACAAAAACATAAATATTTTTTGTTGGTAAGATATTCCAAATTTTGATGCTTTCAAATGTTCATATTAAGCCCTTATTAATGAAAATATTGAATGTGCTCTTGTTTTTATGATACTTGTATGTATAATATTTTGATAATTAGCGGCTTGTTAGAAATAACAAGTTAGGAAGGCTAACTTCGGGTGTAACCTAACATTTTATTATCTTGCAACTTGCAAGAATCAAAGCTGGCGAAATAGTTTTAGGTGATGACAAAACTTACCTATTGACTGATATATGATATTAAGCCAATCGGAAGTTTGAAAAGCTTATATTACGTATGTGGGAGATAGGGATGGTATTGAACCAATTTTATCTATGGGGCAATACCACATACTATTAACATGCCAAATACTAATAATATCCCCTGAGTTTCATTAAGGTACCTCACTTTCCAACCTCACCAATATATGTGGCGTAAACTCACCCGGATGTTCGAAAATAATGATATTAGTTATATGGGGGATAGGACAAAATTTACCCCCATTTTATCCATTTTAGGGACAAAGATACACCGTTATTATTACCAAATACGCGTTCTTATTTTCACAGAGATAACTCACATATTGGCCGATATATACGGTATAAAGTTCATCGGAAGTTCGAAAATCTTTATATTAGGTATATGGCGGCTAAGGGAAGTATTGACCCGATTCAACCCATTTTTGACCTTCAGACATATTATTGAAAGGAAAAGATTATCTTATAATTTCACTTATATATCTTCCACATTGACCTATATATTTGGTATAAAGTCAACTGGAAGTTTGAAAATCCTTATATTAAGTATACGGGGGCAAAAGTATTGACCCGATTTAACCCAATTTTGA